AACTTTGTGTTGTTTGGAACTCTCTTCTTTTACACTTTTTATTTTATCTTTAAAACCAAAAAGACCAAAATATTTTACAACTTCTTTTGTAAACTTTTGTTTAAATTAAATTAACTCACGTCTCCCTGAGGTTCGACACCCTACTTACAAGGGATTCTCTTTAGTTGTTATTTTTGCCCGTTCTATACTGCAAATCAGCTAGAATCACAAACAAAAAGTTCATAAAATTCACAAACTTAATTTTTTAACATTTTCCTAGAAATAAAATGCACTCAAATAATAAAAGATATTTTAATTTAAAATCCATAAAAGGCAAGTTTGTGAAGTTTGTGAACTATTTGTTTGTGACTCTAGCATTTTCCCAAGGCTAATTTGGAAAAAAACAAAAGAAAATATTCTTTCCTTAAATTTCATAAAAGTCAAAAGGGGAAAGTGGTTTTGAGACGGAGGGAGTATATATATATATATATGTATATATATATATATATATATATATATATATATAAAATTTAAACTTCAAAAAATTACTTCTGAGTAACTCGAGTTTTGTTGAAATAACTCTCATGTCCATCTATTTTTAAAAAATCATTAAGGACCCTAATGTTTTGTTGTAAAGACTGGGAGGGAACATTCCGTCCCCTATTCCCTTTATGATTATTGATAAACAATGTTTTTCTTCATTTTGTTCTTTCTATAGTCATTTTAATTGCATTTATTTTTTATATCAGACAAACAATTTTGAATTTCTGAAAAACACTTCCATAAGAAATTGGATAAACTTTATGGAAAAAAAGTGTTGGGAATAAAACACACAACACACACACACAAATAATCTGCAAGAAATGAGAGAAACGAAACACGGGCGAAACACGAGAATTTAACGTGGTTCAGTTTCCCTAATCCACGTCTGCAACAGGAAAATTTCTATTTCACTTGTCGTGTCTCACCGAATTACAAGGGCTCAATATATAGGAGAAAAAAATAGGGTTACATAATATGGGCCGCCCAATAAGTCAAGCCTAAGCCTCCACAAACCCAACATTCTCCCACTTGGAGGCTTGATAGTCATCAACTACTATCCACCACGATTGCTTGCATCGAGTAATCTTCCTAAGCTCTCCTGTTGCAGCGACCCTCTCAATTGACAACTGAAAGGCCCGTTGAAGCTCTCCCAAGCTCCAATACATCAGTCATTTCTAAATCTGCCCCTGACTCGTCGTCGGTCCCTACCGGCTCCCACTGCAAACGCACACTGCCGGATCGTAGAACATCATGAGAACAAACACTCTCCATACTCAGCAAGAAATTTTCTGGAGATGTTCCAACAGCTGGAATACTGGTTCCTTTGACCCACTATCTTCTAGGAAACTTGACTGAAGTGCCTCTTGAGCTCCCTCTGCCATAAATACTTTTGACTAACCTCCTTGAACCTTTCCTCGCTTGTTCGTCCTGAGTCTGACTTGTGGCTCTAGGTTTCTCTCTTGCATAGACAACCTTATTCTGCCCAAGAGACTCTATGAACCGGACTTTTTTCTCTTTTGAACTGGGACGATCACTCCCTCAGATGGTAACTCGATCATATACAGTGAACCTTTCTTCTTTCCACGGGCCATGACAAGATTTCCCTTCACGACCGTCCAACTGCCTAACAGAATTCAAATTTTTCTTCAAGGCTGGAACCATTCTGACATCCTTCAAAATCCAGAAACCGACTAGGGTCTTCAACACCATGTCACCCATGCCCGTCACCTCAAGAGCTATATCGTCCGCAAGTCGTACCTTTCTAAAGTCTCTAATAATAAGATTCTGCAATTCTTCACCGCTGTGGGTGGCATGAAATGAAGCACCAGAATCCATGACTCAGGATTCCACATTGCTTTACTCACAGCAAGTCAGAGTGACCTCCTCGTCACTCGCGGAGCCTTTAGCAATGTTCACTTTATTATCATTTGGGAATTGATTCTTAAAATGCCCCACGTCCTTGCACTTCCAGCACGTTACCCCTAAGCTATCCCGAGTCTTGGACTGACTCCTTTGTCTGTTTTTGCTCCCACCACCTCTACTATTTCTTCTGCCTCTGCCAACACGAAGCAATTCACCGGATGACTTCCCTCAACTCTTTCTTCTGACATCCTCGCCAAGAACGAGATCTCAAATCTGATCAAAGGTGAATCCATCGGGTCCCACTGAACCAGTAACGCTGTAACCATTCCAGACCAACTATAAGGAAAAGACGATAGCAGTAACAAAGCTTGAACTTCATCATCGAACTTAATCTTCACTAACGCAGGTCTGGTTACGATCGAATTCATCTTGTTAATGTGCTCGGTAATTGAAGTTCTTTCTTTCATCCTTGTGTTCACCAGATCTCTGATCAGAAAAATTTTATTCGCTGCAGATGGCTTCTCGTACATGTATGTTAGACAGCGCTTCTATAATTCCATTCGCTGTCTTCTCCTTCAGAATGTTGAATGCAACATTCTTGGTCAATGAGAGACGGATCACAAACATAGCTTTTCGATCCAGACCTGCCCAATCTGCATCCGACATCTTTTCTAGCTTGTCACCCAATACCACGTCCAAATCTTTCTAAACTAGCAAATCTTCAATTTTCATTTTCCACCAACTGAAATATGTACCGTCGAACTTCTCAATTTGGAACTTCCCGTCTTCTACCATATCACACGAACAGGTGAGATACCTGGTACAACTAATTTCAGAAAAACTGGACAAATCCACAACCCAACAATAAAACTAGTCCGAACCAAATCAACCCAGTATCCACCCACAAGAAAAATTACGGCCCAAATGTGATAAAAGTGAACATTGCTAAAGGCTTCGCAATTGACGAGGAGGTCACTCTCACATGCTGTGAGGAAAGCAATATGGATTCCTGGGTCATGGTTTCTGGTGCTTCATTTCATGCCACCCGCAGCGAGAAACGAGAGAAAAAAAACACGGACGACACACAAGAATTTAACGTGGTTCGGTTTCCCTAATCCACGGCTGCAACATGAAGATTTCTATTTCACTTGTCGTGTCTCATCGAATTACAAGTACACGGGCTCAATATATAGGAGAAAAAAAACTAGGGTTACATAATATGAGCCGCCCAATAAGTCAAGCCCAAGTCTCCACAAACTGAACAAAAAGGAACAATGTGAAGAAAAAAAGAAAAAAAAAGAAAAAAAACTAAAAAGTGATAGCCGTGAGGTTTATTGATAGAAAATCATTGAGGGCAAAATGGGAAAAAAATTGTCCATCTGGTCCAAAAAATCTTTCCTGTTTTGACTTTTTTTAGTCAAACAGTGTTACTCTTTGACTATAAATTGTGAACAAACTAAATTTAATTATAATTAGACATAATTGGATTCATCTTAGGATATAATTTTGATATATTAAATTTTTATACGAGTAACATTTATTTATTTATATTGTTTACCTTTTGGTCAAAGAGAGTCACTTTTTAACTAAAAAAATCAAAATAAGAAGTGTTTTTTTAGATGGGAGGGAGTATTTTTTAACGGTGAAAAGAACAAGATGCATTCAGCCTTAATTTACATTGTTGTTTTGCAATTTTCAGGTCTTAGAAAAATTGGATGTGGGGCGTCACTATCAATTTTAGCAGCTCTGTTTATTAATATTGGGTTCAGTAAAAAAACTCGCCCGGTAAAAGATTATACTCCAATTCATTGTCTCTTATGATCTAAAAAGCTTAGATGGTTTGATTTCTTTATTACGGAGTATTTTTTTGTTCAGATTTATTGTTCAAATTCTTTCAACTTTTGTATGTGCACAGTGCACAATACAGTTCCCATTTCATCTGTTATTTTTAACTCATAAATAGGACAATTTTGGACCTAAATTCGGCGGGGTCTACAAAATTATTTTTCCAAAATAATTGTGGACGAATATTTTTCTAAGAGAAACGACTAATTCGATATATTGTGCGCCAAAATTGGTGCTCGGGTGAATGAAAAATTAATTCATAAAGTCAAACACTTGGAAGGGGTAATACCCACATCCCACATCGGATATGAGATCCTTCAACTTCCTCCATTTATAAAGCAACTTATGGAGAGGGAACCAAAGGAGCCCTCGTGCATTGCTGCCGCTGTTTGTCCTGGAGTGTGCACGACGTGTCGTGACGTGGCAAGGTTGAAACCTTAACTTTTACGAGATCGAATCGAACACATTAATGAAGTGACAAAGATAATAGAAATGCATGCATACATCCGAAGAGTCTCTGGTGACTCCTCGGTTGTTTTTCCCGAGCCGTGGAGGTTCGTCCCATCCGCCCAAGACCATCTCCTATTTAGGGAGGTCTTGTTCCAATGAAGAGGATACACTCGAAACATTAGCGGAAAGCTCCAGCAACTCTGCTTTCCTTAAATTTTTTCTTTCTTTCTTAGGCGCGGTTTTGGTCATTGCCGCACCAACGTTCCACCGGTCAAGCAGAAAGTTTGTTCGTCTTCCTTCTCCATTCGGTTTCCAACCACCGGCGATACACTCTTACTATTTTTTTAAATTATTTTCTTTTGTTGTAAAATCTAAACTTATAATATGTTCGGATTACTTATTTCTTTCTTAACTTTCCGCTGTAATATTGGTAACATCATTTACACACTTCCTCCGTCGTATAAAGATGTTGTCATCTTGACTTTAAGAAATTTTGTGGGAGAAATATTTTTGCTTTCAACTTCCAAAAATACTCTTGATGTAATTGATAAAAGTAAGATGTGATGATTAGATTATTAGTAAAAAGATATGATGTGATAGGTAGGTTAAGAATTAATAAAGGTAAAAGTGATTTTTTTAATTAAAAGACTAATGACACTTTGTAGGACAAGAAAAAAAAAGTAGTTTTTGGAACGGACGGAGTACTAGCAAAAGTAGAAATTAAAGGAAGAGGAGTGTAAATTCAACTTCTACTATTTTGTTTGGTCCGAGGGAAATAGAAGGGGAGAAATGAAGTAGTTTTAAATTCTCTTATTTGGCTCGGGGTGAAATTGATGGGGTGGGAGGGAGCCCTCGCGCACTGCCGCCACCGTCTGTCTTGGCATGTGCACGACGCGTCGTGACATGGCGAGGAAAATGATTGTTATGCACGTGGACACTTTTTTTTGCACTAAAGGAGTATATACGAATGTTTTTTGAAAATTAATATAACAAAATAAATGGTGAATCATTTTAAAATTTTAAATATGAAGTTTTTTAAGTTAATAAAATTTATACTGCTTCTATGTAATTAATTTTTTTTATTTCCTTTGCTAATTTGTAAGTAAAATAACTATAAAGAGAAAATTTTACACTTTGTTCGAATTGAAGTGGAACTTTTGTTGGGGCGAGGGGAGTATAACCTAAATTTAAAAAAAACTACAATGATGGAATAGAAACTTGTAAAATACTCGCTTTGTCCATGAAAACTTTTCTTCTTTCTTTTTTCATCCGTTCCAAAAAACACTTCTTATTTCTATTAAAAAGTCAATTTTAACCCTTACTTTTTCATACCCTACCTATCACATCATACCTTTTTACTAATAATATATCCATCAAATCCTACTTTTATCGATCACATCAAAAGACTTTTTTGGAAATTCAATACCAAAATACACTTTCTTTAAATCTCTTAAAAATCAATTTCTCCCATGTTTTTAGGACCGGAGGGAGTAGTTAGAAAGTAAACAAATTTATAAAAATATAATCAAAATAATGATTACTTAATATAATCTTATTAGGCACACGTGACATATATGCCACGTTGCATCACATTTATCCTTCATTTATTTCAACTTTTGTCTCCTTTTATGTTTTCTTATGTCACACTAATTATTCTAAATAATATGTATAGTTCTTCCTCTATTGTAGAATAATAGTGTCCTCCTTATGTTTTATTTAGTTGAGTTGTTGTAACTCTGGTGGACATTATTTTTAGACAAACAACTAGATGTTGGAAGTTGTATCTAGCCATTTTGATTTTTAATAGAATAGTAGCGTCCTACCAACATCATGCTGTTGCAGTCTGTGTTGTGTCATTTGCTATGTCACCTTAGGCTGTGACTAAATCCTACTTCAGTAAGAAGTTGAGGCCGTGGTTTCTGAAGTCCAGCTGATTTTTATTTTTGGCGTATGTTTTGTGCTAAAAAAGGAGTCCTAAAGTGGTTTGAAAGGCTTCCATGAAGATCCTTTCTTCCTTAACAATGTTTGCCGTTTGGGTAGTGTCCAAACTCTTTTTTCGCTATTCTTGAGGAGCAAGAATCGAATGGATCAAGAAATCCTAATTGAACTCTCATAGGTGTTGTACCCTATAAATACTTTACGCCTCTAGCTCTTCATACAAGGTGAGAAGAAAAATAGAGTGAGCCGACTATACAAAAGATCAAATCCGAGAGGTTGTCAAGGAGTGTTCAATGCTTACATGAAGATCATGCCATCATCATCATATATTGTGTGAAGAACCTAGAGCTATTATACCATGTTCAACTTCTTTTCGTGGTGATTTCTAGAAGTTCATCTTTGTTGAACACGGACGTGGGCCCCGTAGATTAGTAGAATTCTTTGAACTGTGCAAACATATTGTTGTGTCGGTTTTAGTGCTATATTTTTTAGTCTTTCTTTAAGCGACATAGTAGGTGTTACCACACTTTGCACGTCATATCTCGTTGTACCTTGTGTTGTAGAATCTATGTGGCCCTTTTATTAGTTTTCTTTATGTTGAACTGCTCTACAGATCTACTTGATTGGTTTTTGGTTCCCCCCTCAAAATTTCAAATAGTCCTCCTTTTTCTTTTCACGGCATCCAAAATTAGTCTGGGTCAATTTTTGTACGGTTTATGTGTAATTATCGCATTTAGAAAAAACTACTCCCTCCGTCTATATCTTTTCTTTCTAATTGAGTATTCACGATTTCCCATGCACTACTTTGACATTTAATTTATTTATTTGTATATAAATGCTCTCTCTGTCCCACTATTTTTGTAGACTTTTCCTTTTTGTTTGTCTCACATTTTTATCAATTTTCCTTTTTGTACGGAGTAATACTCAAAAGGCTCAATTGTTTCTTTTAGCCTTAATAAATTTTTAATTACATAGTACTTATTTTTCTTTCTCATATACAACCATAGGGTCATTGCCATACTCCTACCAAAACACTTCCCAGCGCAGAAATTGATATGGAATGTGCTAGGGAAATCTCACTTGGTGTACACTATACACTTGGTGAACACCAAGTGTACACTATAGTAGTAACAAGTACACAAATCTTCAATGTCTTTGCACGCACATACATTGAGTGTCTGGTTTGGTGTGAGTGTACACTATGTGGGGTTTGCAAAGTATTTTTCAATTGATATACTCCATAGCAGAAAGAGATCTTGACTATTTCAATATGGAGTGATCAGAGTAAAGAAGAAGACTACACCAGCTACAAAGAAACCTATGATTCCGGCAAGATTGAAATTAAAAGACAATCAATTTGGCCTATTTTGTATTTCTTTTCAGATTTAAGTCTTCTCTCCACCCAGACCTCTCTCACACGCCAAATCTCTTTCTTCTAACCAGACCAATCTCCACAAATCAAAGAAGAAGATGACAATGACAATGATAAAGAAGACGACATCAAGATCTATGTTCATGTTATCGAGTATGATGATGAGAGAGCACCGATGAATTCATGAAAGATGAATTCATGAAATACTGTGCCCTTGATATCTGTAAGAACGATGGCGACGAACTCCAAGCAAGATGTCGAAGGGTTTTGAAGAAAGAAATGGAGGAAAAGCGAAACGTCTCACCTTAGATAATTCCAACCAGGCCAAGTAGCCCTTATTTTAACTAAATAAGGTTATTTTAAACATTTCACTATATATTTCAAAAAAAAATCATCTAGGTATCTCCTATTTTGAGAAACTAACTATCGGGTACCTCATATTTTAATAATATATATCGGTGTACCCTCTATTTTTAGAAATTAACTATCGAGTAACTCACATTTTTAAAATATATCCCGGGGTACCTCCAAATGTATATTAATTTACCCATGAGGGACATTTTGATTAATTCGAAAGTTTCGATTAAACTGGATAGATCTACTTAAAGTATAAGAATGAAGGTTATTTATGGAATTTTAAACCCCTATATTTTAAAGTTAATGGCGTAACTCGCTTTGACAAAGAGTGAGACGAAATGTCCCCCACGGATAAGTTAATGTATATTTGAAGGTACCACAGAGTATATTTTATAAATGTGAGGTACCTAGTAGTTAGCTTCTCAAAATAGAGGGTATCTCGTAGTATATTTTAAAAATCTGAGGTATGTGGCAGTTAGTTTCTCAAAATAGGAGGTACCCAAAAGCAATTTTCTAATATTTCTCTCCTTTTGATAAATGTGCCAAAAAGAAACTGAGTGATAACACCAAAACAAATGGAGTATTCAATATAAAAAATTTGATGTTTCAAAATAAATCTATGGATATTAAGTTTCTACCAAAATTCAGTTACTTTTTTCTTATTTTGTGATCAAAGTTTAAAAAAAATTGTCTACAAATGTCAAAATGAGAAGAAAGATATGGGGCGAAAGGAGTATCTTGTTATGATCTGATGCGTACAACTTATTTGTTGAGCTCATTACAAATGTTTATTGGTAAGTTATATACTCTATTGTAGGGGAAATGGCTCTCTCCTCTCTTCCCTATTGAGGTGGAAAACATCAACTTGGCGAAGCATACCAGTGATTCTGGTGTCTATGATTCAGAAGGAAGGTACGTTAATTTATTCAATAAAGCTAGGGCAACCCTAGAAGAGTAACCACAAGCATGACATCATGCTTCATATAGAGCACACATATCTTTATTGCCCGTATCACATATTTAATAATGGTCTCTTTGGCCCGTGCAAAGTATGTCTTGTTCACGGTAAAGTATATTTTTATTCAATAACAAAAAGAGTTTGTGCCTAAGTGGAAATCATATGGTTTTTTGTTATTGTAAAGTGAAAAACACACACACACACAGATATATATATATATATATGTGTGTGTGTGTGTGTATATATATATATATATATATATATATATAGACACACACACAGACAGACATACATACACTATACAGTAAGATGACATGCTACGATCAGATTACGCAAAGCTCACCACTGCAAACTATAAAGTTCATCCACACCAACTGCAAAGCTCACCATTATTTTTTCACACTTTGATATTTTTTTAAAAATAAAATCGAAGGAAGAGGTGCTGACTAGATTTTGAGCGATGACCGCCACCCTTTACTACCACTGGCCACCGCCGCCTGCCGATGGTCACCACCAATCTTTGCCGGTCACCACCGCCAGTCGCTGATCGCCTCCGTTACTGGTCGCCAGTTGCTGCGCCGATGACCAGTGGTTGACTGGTGTTGAAATTTTTTAAATAATTTTTTTATTTTTAAAATATAAAAAAATGGTGAGTTTTGGTGTTCAAAGTGGTGAGCTTTGCTTTATTTCTAGGTGAGCTTTGTATGGTGCATTGGTGAGCTTTTTAGTGTAATATGTTGAGCGTGACATCATCTCACTGAAGCATGTCATCTGACATAACGTGACATGTCATCAGACTGAAGTATATCCCATAACTCCATAAGGTGTCAGTGGCATAAAAATCAGGTATGGGTTAATATGCTAACCCCCTATTCGGTCAAGCTTAACACAATTAACTAGGCCTGATTAAATATAAGCCCAATTAGGGCCTGTTCTTTAGGACTGGAAAAAAAGAACTGGAAACTGGAAGAAACTAGAAGAAACTGGAAGGAACTGGAAGAAACTGGAAACAACTGGAAGGAACTGGAAGGAACTGGAAGAAACTGGAAGGAACTGGAAGAAACTGGAAAAACTGAAAAAAATTTAAAAAAAATTAAAAGAAATTGAAAAAACTAGAATAAATTGTAAAATCTAAAAAAAGTTTTTAAAAAATTTTTATGTGTGGTTTTAAATTATTCTCATTCTGATTCTTATTGATATAAATTATTATTACTATTATTATTATTATTATTATTATTATTGTTGGTGGTGGTGGTGGTAGTGGTGGTGTTATCACGTTATCCAAATGATTGTCTTTAAAATAAAAAAATATTATGAATATTATTTTTCATACATAAAAAGATATTTTAAAAAATTAATTAGAATATAAAATTAGCATAAATATCAAAATGTTAAATAGTTAAGAGTTATTATGGCTATGTTGTATTTATTATAAAATAATATATTTGTAATTATATTTTATACATAATGTAATCAAACTTATATTTATTTAAGGATTGACAATTTATTTCCATTGTAACCCTATTTTTTGAATAAAAATATAGAACTGGTATTATTCATATTAAAAAGTTGAAGAAAAAAATAATGAATGTGAATCATAAAAATAGTGAGATGAAAAAATTAAATAATTTATAAACTATAGTTATGAACATAAAAGTTGTAATTAAAAAAATTGTAATAATAATAATAATTATAATAATAATATATATTTTTTTAGAGTTATTTGTCAAAAGGTAGAAAGAATTTGAAGAAAATAAATATAGTTGGAAGAAATTAGAAGAAACTGGAAAAAAACTGGAAGAAACTGGAAGGAACTGGAAAAAACTGGAAGAAACTGGAAGGAACTGGAAAGAACTGGAAAGAACTGGAAAAAACTGGAAGAACTGGAAGAAACTGGAAGAAACTGAAAGAAACTGGAAAGAACTGGAAGGAACTGGAAAGAACTGGAAGTTAAGAGTTCAAGTCCTAAAGAACAGGCCCTTACTCTTCCATAAAAACAATACACTTTAAAATTTGTTTAAGGAGTAATCATATGAAAATGTAATGTTAAATGACCTTTTTAAACTCCAAAATATTATAAAAGTTTAAAAATGCGTCTTGGAGAGATAATCAGGGTGGGGTTACATCAGGGTCTGACCTTAGCCTTTTCTTCTTTGCTTTGGTAATGGATGCCCTGTCATAGGGTGTTCAAGGAGAGGTTCCTTGGTGCATGCATGCTTTTTTCTAACAATATTGCGTTGATTGATGAGACCCATGAGAGACTAAATCATAAGTTGGAGCTATGCCGCCCTTCCTTGGAACCCAAAGTTTTCAAACTAAGTAGGACTAAAAGAGAATATATGGGATGGTTTTTTAGTGGCCGAGTGATAGAATCAGAGTTGGAAAATTAGTTTGGTTTCTATTCAATGCCTAAGAGAGACAAGTTTTGGTATCTTTCTTTGGTCATGTTCATGAGAGGGATATTGCACACCATACTTAAGCAATATACTTTGGCTTAGTTGAATTTGGCTTTGGTGGATTTATTGAACAAGAAGTTTTTGGCTATGACCAATGGAAAGTTCTACCCGTCACTAGCTATGTCGTATGGTATAGAGTCTTAGGCATTTAACAAAACTCACATTTGTCAACTAAAGGCTATAGAGATGCGAATGTTGCAATGTATTAGGAAGTATAATTAAATTAGGATACTACTTTCCTTTCCTACTAGGATTATTCTTTCCTTTCCTACTTGTACTTTGATTACTCTTGTATTCCCTATATATAGGGCCATATCTCTCAATATTTAATAAGCAAGTTATTATCAAATTGTATCATGGTATCAAAGCTAAGGCTCTCAAAAAACTAGCATCTCTTTTTTTGGCCGTGCCCTTCGCCAACCGTCACTAAACATGGCTGCCCCATCGGATCCTTTGGCTTCCTTACCCTCTGGAGTAAAACTTTTGCTTCGCAGTCTCCACAACTTAATCCCAGAAAAACTCACCGAAACAAATTATCTGGCATGGTCTCTCAATGTTCAAACCGCTCTTTCAGCTAATCTTCTCCTTGGATGGATTGATGGTCATGAAGGAGCCCCGACGCCAACCATCTCCAAAAACGATCAAACTGTCCCTAATCCGGAGTATACCTCCTGGAACATCGTTGACACATAGATCCGCGCCTCCCTCCTAGCAGTCATCAGCCCCTCCGTTCACAAACATGCTCGCGGCTTCACCACATCTACTGCCCATCTGGGATGCTTTGGCCGCACGGTACAATTCCGTAACCACCGCTCATATTTATCAGCTTTGGGACAAACTCCACACTCTTCGTAAAGGTACCAAAACTATGACACAATACCTTGATTATGTGGCAACTATTCTCTCGGATCTCGATGCCTTGAAAGAAGAGATCCCTGAACGTGATGTGGTGAATGCTGTCATTCGTGGTCTTCCCACCGAATATTCATCCTTTAAGCAAAACATTTGCATGAACAACACCAATATTTCGTTAAATAAGCTTTCTGGATGGCTAATCTTTGAAGAAATAAACCTGGAGATGGAGAATAAACTCAGCCTCACCGAGTCTACCATCACCGAACCTCGCACAGCACTTCTCGCTACAAACGTTCGAGGTCGCGGTAGAGGAGGCTACCGCGGTCGACCGTCCCCTGGGCGTAGATACAACAGCGGACGTGGAGAAAGGAACAACGGTCGACCGTCTCAGGGAAACGGTCGACCGTCATGGGATCTGCCAACCTGCCACATCTGCGAAAAACGAGGTCACTCTGCGTCTGCGTGCTGGTATCGGTTTGATGATTCTTATACTGCGAACTCCTCCTCTAGTGCTCCCCGTGCAATGCATGCATCTACGAGTAATCATTCTGGAAACTGGTATCTGGACACTAGTGCCAACACCCATGTCACGTCTGATTATTCTCAGCTACAATCTCCTCATCAATACATCGATACTGATGCTATTACCGTAGGCAATGGTCAATCCCTACCCATCACACACTCTGGGTCAGGTTTTGTCCATACGCCTAATGGTAAATACCACCTTTCTACTCTTCATTATGTCCTTTCCCTTACCTCCAATCTATTGTCTGTCCATCGATTTACCAAAGATAACAACTGCACCCTTGTTTTTAATGCCAATGATTTCCAGATAGTGGACAATCCTACCAACCTGGTGCGGTACAAGGGCCTCTGTGAGCATGGGTTATACACACTTCCTTCCAAACTCCAAACCGTTGCGTATCAAGCTATCCAAGAGTCCACTTGGCATCGTAGACTCGTTCATCCAGCTCCTGCGATTGCCAAATCTATTTTGTCTTCCTTAGGTTTTCAGTTTTCAGAACCTTTACATTGTGAATCATGTTATGTCTCTAAGTCCTGTCGTTTACCTTTTGAATTGTCTGAACATAAGGCTACAGCGCCCTTTCAATTAATACATTCTGATGTCTGGGGTCCCACCTTTGTTCCTTCCTGTAGCGGCTTTCGATTTTATATCTCTTTCGTTGATGATTTCAGCAAATTTACCTGGATTTATCCCCTAAAACATAAATCTGAAGCTTACTCTGTTTTTGTGACTTTTGAAAAAATGATTAAAACTCAGTTTAATTCTCACATCAAAATTTTTCGAAGCGATAATGGCAAAGAATTTTTAAATAATGCTTTTGGCCTTTTCCTTCAAACTTTAGGAGTCTTTCATCACACCTCTTATCCCTACACTCCTGAGCAAAATGGAGTCGCTGAACGGAAACACCGTCATCTCATTGAAACGGTTGTTTCTCTTTTATACGACTCAGCTCTCCCGACTATCTTTTGGGTCGAAGCTTTTGCCACAGCAAACTATCTTATAACCGTCCTCCTACATATACCCACCTTCGTCCCTTTGGTTGCTTGGTCTATCCATGGCTCCGCCCTTACACTCACCCCAAACTTCAACCACGCTCCACTCCTTGTGTCTTCTTAGG